TGCAGGTGGGATGCAGCGAGGACTCTTCCCCTTGCTGCTGGCAGCTCAAAAGGGCATGTGTTTTGGTCACAGCGCTCAGCTCAGCCTGCCACTGCCTGTGTCCACAAGGGTCCGTGGGTGTGGGGATTCACGTATTTTGATTGACCTTAGTCATCTTTTGCAGACCCCTTAGACAGGCTTTGGACCCCGAGGCATTTGCAGACCACAGGCTGAAAACCGCTGCTCCCGAATAAAGAGCAGCATGTCACATCCAAAGCCCAGACCTGCTCACTGTGCCCCCCCGTGTGACTGTAACCAGGGGAGTCATTAAGGGGATCAAGTGACACTAAGGTTGCAAAATGCTCCATCCCAGCCTGAGAACTGCCTGTCCCGTGCTGGTCAGAAGTGACTTCTCTGATCTTCTCCAGCGAGATCTTCCTTCCACGCTCGTGCTCTCTACCTAGAATCAATAAATTTACCTGGTCTCCCAAGCTGCCTATCGCTCGAGTGAGCATACATCCCGGTTTGGCCGGGACAGCCCCAGATTCCTTAGGCTGCTTGGTCAAAAGTCCCAGGCTGGAGTCTGGCAGGGAGACGGAGCAGCATGGCATGTGAGACAGGTATGGTCACCCTACCTAAGATGCCATATCCAAGGTCCCTGCCCGCCTGCCCGATGCACCATGCCACTCTTCCTCTCCACCAGACTCCAAAGCACAGGACTTTTGACCCTGGGACTGTCCCATCCAAACCGGGACACACGGTCCCCCTACCTAAACCACAACCGCTTGGACAGGAGAATGACATATGGCTGCATCAAACCATGTTGCATAAAGTAATCCAGCAGCCGCCAGAACCTGGACTGCCCTTGCTGGGAGCACGGGGCCCGGCATGAACCACCGATGAGCAGGTTGGACATGGAGGTCCCGCGGAGAGACTTCTGCTTTATCTTCACAGAAGCACAGACATGGGAACAGAAATCCCGGGCGGCTTTTGAACGGTGCCTGGGGACCTCTGCGCTGATGGAAAGCAGCTGAGGAGCGCGACGGTCTGAAGCACCGCGCGGGGCTGGAACGAATTTAAACGTCTGCCTAAATCAGATCTACAACTTAAGAGGTGGCAACTGGGTATATGCACAGGCACACGTCAGTATTACTCACTCGCAAGGCCAGTCCTTCCTCCCTCCTGCTGGCCTATCAGCATCTCTCAGCTAATCGCCACAAAATGAGAACAGCTCTGGCTCCTTCCCAGGCTGCTGGCAATGTCTTTCTGGGCTGGTTCTCCGGCCTCTCCCTGGGCTGCGAACCAGCCACCAGAAAGTAGGTTACTGCCTCAGCAGCAGCGTCTGCAGCGCGCAAGAACATTTTAAGACCTGGCAGCTCCGCCACACAGGGGTGCCTGGGCCTGGCTTTTTGCTCGAGGGTGTTACTGGGAAAGCTGTGGATGATCCTGCACAGAAAGGGTCCGTGCACCCGTCTCCCCGGCCCGTACCGGACAGACGAGCCGTTTTCTTACGTGCCAATACAAAGGAGAAATTGCAGCAGAAATGAACCGCTGTGTAGACTGGAGACCAGTGCAGCCAAACAGAGCCCGGGCATTGCTTGGCACAGGAAAGCAGAAATACCAGGTGACTCGAGCGTGGAGACGAGCTCGGGCTTCCCGCGCTTGCCCCGGCTACGTGCCGTGCATTGCGGGTCTGACCTTCACATCCACGAGCTCAGAGAAACAGGTCTGCTTCCCGACTGGGATCGCAGAAGAGAAAGAGGGGAGGTCTTTGCACCCCGAGACATGGGGCAAAGCAGCAGAGGCTGGGAAAAGGCCTGCTTGCGTGGGAGAGAGAGCAGACTAGACCCTTGGAGGGGGGGGTCTTCACTGCTGTCAGGTGCTTGGATACTGGGAGGAAGGAAAAAGCAGAAAGGGAGATCAGAGAGATGCCAGCTCACACAAGGAAATCCCCTGGGGATTGCCAGCACCTTCTGGAAGCAGTTCAATTGCTTCCAAAAGCAGGAGGTAAGAGGGGCTGGGTGGCAATGCAGCTCCAAACCAGCCCGGTGAGTCACTAAGGACAGGAAGCTCCTCGTCATCGCACCAGACCTGCACAGAGCTCCCGACATCAGCCGGTGTGTCACGGACCAGCCTGACCCGGGAGGGGAGGCTGCACGGCAGAGACCTTGCAATGCCGACACCTGCTACAAGTGTCACCACCGCACCTTCCTGCCAAGCGATTTCGGCCGCCGGCGGCAGCGATCGCGCAGTAGCGACGCGACCGTGACGAGGACTCGGCCGTGGCTACGGTGCCAGCTGGGAGCAGCACAGAAAGAAAAAAAATCAGCCCGTTGCACCGACACCGCGCTGGAGGCCAGCTGTAAAATCGCAGATGGTGCTTCTGGTAACTTGTGCTTTGAAACTTGACAGCGCCCTGCTAATTACCATGTGAAAAGCACCGCGTGTCAATCACGGGCACGTTCCAGCACAGGCTCGGCTGTCATGGTAACGCCGAAAGTGGAAGGGGCAGCTCCTGCCGGGTTGTGCGCTTCGCACACCCCCGGGAGGTCGCCCGCCAGAAACCGTGCCAGCCCGAGACGTGCAAAGTCAGGAGAGGAGGATCGGCCTGAGCTTGCCCCTGTCCGACCTCGATTTACCTTCCCGAGGCATGCTCACCCCAGGCAGCACCGCTGCTCCGGCTCCTGGGTACTGGCGCGCGGGAGTTATTGCACTAGATTGGGCTGGCAGCCCGTTCAGGTCCGGTACCCTCCCCTCAAGACCTGATGCAGCAGTGCAGGGCACCCCCTAATCTGTTCATTATGAAGCTGTTATCCCACCCGTTCACCTGCCCCAAAGAGGTCACTCAGCCCCATGCCCTCCCAGGTGCGAGGATACAGAGCACAACCTGATCCTTCCCCGCCTCGCTGTCCCACGATGCAGGATATACCACCCAGCCAGCCCACCCATGCCGTGAGACGAGGCGAGATTAGACTGACAGAGCAGAAAGCCACCTGCCACTTGTTAGGAGGCCACTGGAATTGGGTCACCTTTCTAAAAGGGGAAGCAAAGCCCATTATCCGCTTCCAAGGAGGCCTGGCCCTGTGTGCCCAGCCCCATGCAGACCCTGCACAATCCTGCGGCCGGTCCTTGCTGCCCGATCGCTTTGGACCCGGAGGCTGAGAACACCAGGTCTGACACGGCCCTCGGGCCAGCGGTCAGCCCCGCGAGCGCTGCTGTGCCCTCTGCAACATCCTGCAGGGACGGAGGGATAGCAAGACCTACACCTTGCACATGGGAGCTAAGTGCACGATTCCCGTGGACAAGAGCCCAGGTCTGGGATGATGTTTCCGGCTTCATCTGGGCAAAGGGGGTGCCAGCCACAGCAATTAGACATGATGTTTGGGGGGAATCTGCACAGGGTCTCCTCCTCTCCTGGCTACATCACTACCACAGCCCCCAAGCACCTCCACTTGCATGCCTGCAGCCCCTGGTGAGGAAGGGGGGTGCTCCTACACCCCTGCCTACACATTGATGGGTGCAGGGAGGCATGAGGAAGGGAAGGGGCTCGCTCAAGGCCCTGAAGGCTGCCGTGTGCGGGCATCTCTCCTGCCCGACAATCCCAGGGGCTGGTGGGGACGCGTGTTTCTGGGAGCGTTTCTCAGAGACCAGCGATGCACTCAGGATAACTCCGGTCTGGTGGGAACGCAGAGCTGGGGGGGAGTCCATAAGACTCATTAGGCTTCAGGGTGGGCAAGCTGGGGTCCAAGTCCTACCCCTCTGCAAGGCAGAGCTCCCCCTCTTTCCTGCCATTGCACCAGCAACATGGCCAGAGGGCTTGCCCCCAGCAGCCACCACTCTGCAGAGGCAGGGTAAGGCAGGGGCACCAGGTTTTCCCTGCAAACCAAGCTCTCTAGGATGCCGGGAGCATGAGGGGGCTGTTAGCTTCTACTCCTCGGAGGACGGCACGGGATGGGAACGCGCCAGCAGGGCCTGCACAGCTCGCGTGTCTGGGGTGATGACTGCGATGCTGCGCTCCCCTCCCAGCAAGGCCCACCAGGGACCAGCATCCAGCCTGCTTCTCCCCTTCTCAGGGTATTGGGCACTCGGCTTGCAACGCGTGCCCGCAGAGCATCGCCTAGAAGGCGGCAGGGAGTACAGGGCACTGCAAACTCCCCCCCTTCCCATCTTCTCGCCGACTGCGCACTATGCCGACAACCCCCAGGCCCTAAAATCCAGCTTGCAGGCAGCCCTCCAACCCACAGCCACCGCAAGAGAGCCTCTCCCCTGCTGTGTTCAACTGCCCGGGGTACCACGGACACGGTCAGGAAACCGTAGGCAGCCACGCTTCTCTTGCCTCTCGGGGCCCAGAAGCGTGACGGCTTCCCCGGCCAAGGAAACCCCCAACACAAAACCTTACACAGACCCCCACTCCCACCATCCTCCTTTGTGGATGCCCGAGCTCCT